AGTGCTGGGTGTGTGAGGGAGTATTGGAAAAAAAAATCTAGGTCTCACCTATCCTAAATCATTAAAAAGGGTCATTCATCATTTATTTATGTATCAAGTTTTATAGTGTTGGACGAGAGGGGATGTACTGGAAAGAACCCAAATCTCATATCGACTAGAAATAAGACAATTAAAAAATATATAAGTAGAAAACATAAAAATTAGGAATCATTTCTTAAACTTATAGTAACAATAAAAAGTCAATAAATAGGTTAAACATTTAAAAACTAATAGTAACAACCACTAGAAATGCCAATAAAAAATATCACAAAAATTCATACATTTTTCTTGACTATTATAAAAGTTCTTACTAGGATGTAGAATAGTTGTCAATAAATATTTTACCAACACTATATATAATGACTAATGTATAAATATTGATAAAATGTTTTGTAACCATTTTTATTATTATTAAAAATAATATTAAATATCACTAAAAAATATTAATTATAAAACTCAATAGTCTAGCCACAAAAACTTAACTTGAGAACTTTATCTAGGAACAGAATAATTTTAACAATATTCAAATATTTCTGACTTCTCATCACGAAAGAAATACAACAATATTTTATAAGAAAATAATGATATGAATAAGTCATTGTGGTCTAAGGTACTCTTTCTAACATCTCTACCTACTAATTCATCGCCTATAATCACTAACTTGAGTATCACACTGCTTGTAATTGCACTTCCAGAATTTAGGTTGTGAGAATTTGAGAATATTTCATTTGATTGAATTTTATATATTTATATGCAAGTATTATTCCTTCCCTCAGGCTTACATTTCACATTTTTTTATAGATTATTACAGAATAATCTACCAAAACAAATTAATTAAACGATAAGAATAAGAATTATACTCTCTTTTTATTTATTTATTGTTTTTAATACGCATGGCATGGACCTCTTAGCAACAAGACGTCATGACTCATGACCCACGTCGAACCCGGTTTGAAAATTTGAAAACTGAGCCGAACCGGAAGCAGGTTGCGACATGCATGATGCATGCATTCATGCCATGACCCATGACACGGACCCACACGCTATTGAATGCCTCGTGCCACCCACGTTTTCGATTCCAAGCGCGGTTTACAATCGCCTGTGTTCATGTGTACACCGCCACCATGTGACCCAATCGCTCACCGTCCATGCCGTTGACCGTCAAACCAGCGTTTCCAACCGTCCGATGTTGGACCATAGGATTCTCATGCTATCGAAACCGTTAAGATTTGCAATCTTTCTTTTTGGCAAAAGAAGTGGGCCCCGCAAAAGCAAAAGTGTGTGTATGTGATGTGTGAACTGCAAAACTATGTCTCAAGCAGCTGCCACCTCACCATCAACGTCAGTAATACTTTTTTTTATTAAATAATTTTAAAAAGTTTGAAATTTAAATATATTTTTAATCATAATTTAATCAATTTCAAATTATGATTTAGTATTGTAATTTAAAAATATTTTAATCTTTCAAAACCACTTGCTATATCACTATTAGACATAGATTAAGTCAACTATGTAGTGTTAGTTGTAACGTTTTCACTGATAATTAAAAACAAGAGATAATTACAGTAATATATACTCCGAACTCCGAAGTTAATTTACTGTAACTACACATGCACTTCCTCCATTTAAAAACATTACATTTGTATTCTTTGAAGTTTAATTTTTGTTAATACAATTAATTGCACATGTATCCTGAGACATTGAAGTTATTACACATGCATGATGCATCTCCTTACTTTACAAGGTCTACACATATACCTTCAAACACAACACCCTACAAAAGGCATAAACGGAACTCACTGAAAATAAAATGTGTATGAAAGTTGACAACGAACAATTTATATATATCTTCCTTATGATTGTTTTTGGTACGTGGTGTCAAGATTGTTTTTTGGGGTGAATTGAACCTAGCATAGTTGATCCACACAAAATTTGATTTAATAAAAAATAAAAAGCCTTGTATGCGATTACTATTTGTCATATTCCATTTGAAGAGTAAGCACTATGACTATATATGTACGTGTTGGATTGAGCTAAATAAGCAAATAGAATACTTGATGCTCACGTTACGACAAGTGGATGACTTTTTTGGGGGTGGGTTGGGTTCCTTGTTTGAATATGTCCAGATTCAACCTTTCACTATTATTTTATTACACATCTTCTACAAAGCTGCAACCAACTATCCAAATATCCCATACCCGGGTGCTATTCTTTTTTCTCCTTCTCACAAAGTCGCATCGTAACAAACAAATAAGTAACGATAACATTTATATATATTATGATCATTTTTCCAATAATATTCATATTTTATTTTTTTCATCAAATACAAGAGTATATACATATCCTATGGGCAAGAATTATGAATATGAATATGTATTAGTGTTATTTCTCATCCAAGCATGTATTCGAGTGTCATATATAGTTAGACTTAATTTGGTCATTTGGTGTATGATCTTTGAATGGTTTTGACAAGTATCCTATACGTACCTTTGAATTAATAGTGTTTTATTGATATCATTTTATTTGTTAAGAGATATAATCAATTGATCCATCAAATACAAAATTGTTAATTATGTAAAATATATATTATTGATCTCATCGCGTGATCATTCAATTTGATTTAAATTTTCTTCCACCTGCCATATATATATATATGCTTGATTTGTAACTATTGATGTGAGAATATGAGAACGTATAACATATATGTGCTTGTTGATGCAAGTATGTTAAATTATATGATGTACATTTAGCGTTTATATGTATTATTAGGGCTTGGATTTTCATGTTTTGTTTCTGTTTCATTTTTACTTCCACTATTTGTATGTTCATTTTTTTCGTTTGTTTTGTTCCTATCTCTAGTCTAAGGACGTCACATTTGTAGATAAATGGCGCGTAGCAGAATATTAATTTGAGGCAACTTACAATTGAATTATTTAGAAAAAACATGGGAATGCATGGGGAAGCACATGTAGTTTAATTTTGTAAACTGTCATGTACAATATAGCGACAACTTCATATTCTCATACTTTTTTTTCCCTTCTTTTATCATCATGCTGATGCTGTATAAAGTATCACTTTAAACGGTGATTCATCTTTGTTAAGAATTATCTATGAGCATCTATATAAGATATGTAATTTTTTTTAATATAATTATTTCATACTGAATTCAGAATTTAAACGGTTAACAACTTAATTAAAAAAAAAAAAAAGACTTTCCATAATATTAAAGTTACTGTTACGGAAAGCTCTTTCCAGAATTATATGAACAATAATTTTACTATTCCGGAAAGTACTTTCCGGAATGCTAAAAAACTTATTTTACATTCCGGAAAGTACTTTCCATAATATTAAAGTTACTGTTACGGAAAGCTCTTTCCAGAATTATATGAACAATAATTTTACTATTCCGGAAAGTACTTTCCGGAATGCTAAAAAACTTATTTTACAATCCGGAAAGTACTTTCCATAATATTAAAGTTACTATTACGGAAAGTTCTTTCCGGAATTATATGAACAATAATTTTACTATTCCGGAAAGTACTTTCCGGAATGCTAAAAAACTTATTTTACATTCCGGAAAGTACTTTCCATAATATTAAAGTTACTATTACGGAAAGTTCTTTCCGGAATTATATGAACAATAATTTTACTATTCCGGAAAGTACTTTCCGGAATGCTAAAAAACTTATTTTACATTCCGGAAAGTACTTTCCATAATATTAAAGTTACTATTACGGAAAGTTCTTTCCGGAATTATATGAACAATAATTTTACTATTCCGGAAAGTACTTTCCGGAATGCTAAAAAACTTATTTTACATTCCGGAAAGTACTTTCCATAATATTAAAGTTACTATTACGGAAAGTTCTTTCCGGAATTATATGAACAATAATTTTACTATTCCGGAAAGTACTTTCCGGAATGCTAAAAAACTTATTTTACATTCCGGAAAGTACTTTCCATAATATTAAAGTTACTATTACGGAAAGTTCTTTCCGGAATTATATGAACAATAATTTTACTATTCCGGAAAGTACTTTCCGGAATGCTAAAAAACTTATTTTACATTCCGGAAAGTACTTTCCATAATATTAAAGTTACTATTACGGAAAGTTCTTTCCGGAATTATATGAACAATAATTTTACTATTCCGGAAAGTACTTTCCGGAATGCTAAAAAACTTATTTTACATTCCGGAAAGTACTTTCCATAATATTAAAGTTACTATTACGGAAAGTTCTTTCCGGAATTATATGAACAATAATTTTACTATTCCGGAAAGTACTTTCCGGAATGCTAAAAAACTTATTTTACATTCCGGAAAGTACTTTCCATAATATTAAAGTTACTATTACGGAAAGTTCTTTCCGGAATTATATGAACAATAATTTTACTATTCCGGAAAGTACTTTCCGGAATGCTAAAAAACTTATTTTACATTCCGGAAAGTACTTTCCATAATATTAAAGTTACTATTACGGAAAGTTCTTTCCGGAATTATATGAACAATAATTTTACTATTCCGGAAAGTACTTTCCGGAATGCTAAAAAACTTATTTTACATTCCGGAAAGTACTTTCCATAATATTAAAGTTACTATTACGGAAAGTTCTTTCCGGAATTATATGAACAATAATTTTACTATTCCGGAAAGTACTTTCCGGAATGCTAAAAAACTTATTTTACATTCCGGAAAGTACTTTCCATAATATTAAAGTTACTGTTACGGAAAACTCTTTCCAGAATTATATGAACAATAATTTTATTATTCCGGAAAATACTTTCCGGAATGCTAAAAAACTTATTTTACATTCCGGAAAGTACTTTCCATAATATTAAAGTTACTGTTACGGAAAGCTCTTTCCAGAATTATATGAACAATAATTTTACTATTCCGGAAAGTACTTTCCGGAATGCTAAAAAACTTATTTTACAAGCACATGGCACATTTAACTTACCAGTTTCCTTATCTCTTCATCCACCACCGGCGTTTGTTGTCAAGTGCCAGTGGAGAATCTCTCCTCAGATATATGGGCATGGAGGAAATATGGACAGAAACCCATAAAGGGGTCCCCATATCCAAGGTTAGCCTACAAGATTTTCACTTGCAATCTTCAAAAAATGAGTTGACAATTCATGATTTGGCTATTCTAATTTGATGATCCTTGATTTGAGATTGTGAGAGAATTTGTGCATGGATTATAAAGGTGTTTTAAGGTGTCTATAGTGAAAATTTGCAATTAATTATCACATCCCACTTTATGCTTTAAGTAATCAAATCCAAATTTGTAAAGTTGTGTACTTTATGAAGGTCTAATTGAGGTTGTGGTTTGTAGGGGTTACTATAGATGTAGCAGCTCAAAGGGGTGTTTGGCAAGGAAACAAGTTGAGAGGAACAGATCAGACCCAACAATGTTTATTGTGACATACACTGCTGAGCACAACCACCCTGCTCCTACTCACAGAAACTCCCTTGCTGGTTCCACACGCCAGAAGCCATTGGCACCACAAGCCGCCACAAATGGAGACTCTGACAAGACCCCAACAAAGCCCTCTTCCCCTGCCACCTCAGGGGCAGAGGAAGAGGTTCCACCACAAGGGGAAAAGTCAGAGAGCAGAGAAGAGAAAGAGGATGATGTTGATGAGGAAGAAGATGAATTTGGAGGGTTGTCTGATATGGTGCTGACAGATGATTTCTTTGAAAGTTTGGATGAACTGAGTCAACTCACTGCTCCTTCTGTTGTCACTGGAGATTGCTTCAGTGACCCCTTTTCAACTATTGCAATCCCATCTTGGGTGGCTGGTGGATGCAGATGATTCTTTGGGGGAAAAATCATCACAACAAGTGTTTTCATTGATGACAATAGGGACCCTTTTTTGTTTTGTTTGTAGAGGAAAGGGAACATTTTGGAGGAATCTTTACGAACAATGGTTTGTGAAGGGGAGGAATAGTTTGTAGAGTAGTGAGTAGTGACTAGTAAGTAAGGTAGATCAAGCATTTGTATGTTCTTGTTAAAATTAAATGGTTAATAGGGATTCATAGTTTCATGTCATACCTATGTTAATGTAAAAACAATTTGTTTTATCAGCAGGTTTTGTATGCTCCATGAGTTGTGGTTGAGTTCACTGTATTACTATTCAACATTGGTTGTGATATAAATTGGCAAAGCACTTGTGTTTTTGGGTTGACTTTTTATTTTTTTCTTCTTGGTAATGATTATTATTATTGTGTGAGTGTGACATAAGGGTTCATGGGTGTTGCTTGTAGGGTATATATTCTAGCAGTACTGTGCATGAACACCAATTGTAGTGAAGCTTTTATGGGGACGCGAGGGGTTAAGGTAATCAAGGAATTAGATTCCATGAAGCATATGCGTTTTGATTTATAGTGGTATCTGGCTACTCTATGTTTTATTCATTGAGAAGCAAAGTATTTAACGTCACCACCAATGAGAGCCACGATAGCTTTAAGTTAACATGTTAGGCTCACCATTTAGCTTTGTGCCATCTGCTTGGCTTCCAATAACAATGCATCTCATCTCTTGCCCTAGTGGAAGGGGTCAATTCACCAAACTTGCCTCACCTGGAAAATGAAAGAAAAATCATAATTAGGTAATTTATCTTAGGCTTTGTACCGGAAGGTCCCTATCGGTCACGTTGACCAACACGTGCCATTTCGTCAGACACCCATGCATAGCCACGTACAAGCATCATCATCAACATCGGCTCGGCATGAGGCCGAGAACCTACATCAGTCTGGTTAATGCAAATATGGACCATCATCATTCATCGAGTCGGCTCGGTCAGGTGCCGCGCCGACATATAACATACCGGAAGTATACAGGCTGCCGTGTACGGACTGGACGGTTCGGTCATTTGCCGCTCCGACTAGTATTGATTAGACGGCTCGGCCTCTTGCCGAAGGGTTAGGCGAGTCATAACAAGTAATCACAGTCAAGAAAGGTAAGTACATGATTAAAGCCTAAACGACCAATTAGTACCGTATTACCTAATTTGGTAAACATCTGATAGGGCCCATCACGCTCAGGCCCATGTCAGATGCTATAAATAGGTCTCACGTAACAAGGTATGTCACTGTTCATTTTTAACCTAGATACTCGTGCATATACTAACTTGAGCGTCGGAGTACCTTTTGCAGGTACCTCCCCCCACTTTTGAAGACATCGTTGGAGCTCTTATTCGGTCCCCTTTCACTAGGAAGAACAGGAGTGTGCCCTCAGACAGGTACAGGCTTAAATATGTTTTTGTCCCTCAAATTTAAGATAAATTTGTTTTTGATCCCTCAAATTTAAAACTGTTGTTTTTAGTTCCTGTAATTTTCAAAAATCTTGTTTTAATCCCTTAAGTCACTAATAACATATTTGAAAGTGACTAATTAAGACAGTTATGCAATATCAACCAGATTTAATGTGATATTTTCACTAATAGGGACACTAATAGGTAGATTTTATGAAATAATGTTTGATAAATTTCTCAACAAAATTTGAATATAAGGACTAAAATAAGATTTTTTAAATTACAGGGACTAAAATCAACAATTTTAAATTTGAGGGATCAAAAATAAATTTACTCTAAATTTGATGGATTAAAAACATATTTAAGGCTTAATCTTATAAGTTTGGATTCACCAGGACGATATATAGGATATCAATACATTATCCATGCACCAAAAATTCGCCTTAATTATTGATAATCAATATTATATTCTTGTATATTCATTTTTTAATAACAAGCATCATAAAAGAACATTGCAGGTTATTATTTTGTGATGAGCACTTTGAAAACTTTTCAAAACAAGATGAAATTATATCTTTTATGAAAGATATGGGCATGCCTGTTTAAGTTTTTTTTTTCTTAAAAAAATGTTTTTAAATAAATAAATACTTTTATTTTATATTTTGTATTTGTCTAAATGTTTTTTTAATTCAATTTTTTATTTTTTTGAAGAAACAAATCTTATTTACAATCGCTTTTATTTTTAAAGAAATCTTTTTTTTCCCTAAAAGATTTGTTTCTTAAAAATTCATTTTTTACAATCGCTTTTTTAAATTTTTTTTTTAAAATTTTAAACAAATTATCCCATATTCATCCGTCTAACTAACTTGCTATATTTTACATGTTCTATGTAAAACAAAATTCATACAAAAAATTAGAGACATTTTTTTTACATAGTATATTATATTTTAAGATTTTTTTTCCCTATGGAGATGCTAATTAAAATAGTCAAATCACTAAAAATATATATTTTTAATTCAATACCTATTAGGCAGTGGCTAACATGTTTGAGATAAGTGTCTAGGTCGAGATCATGTTCAACATCATGACATTTCCAACAATAGAGATATTCGTCCTTCATAGATTAATATTATCATTGTTGATAAGCATAAACCACATGATTCATATTTTAAAGGATTTTGAATCTTCCGTTTTTAACCGTAGAAAATGATTCACTTCATGCAATTGGAAGGAAAGTGAAACGAGTTGCTCGAATTTGATGATGTATATATACACTTAATGCGAGAATTTTTTGAGAAGCCGTGTGAGGGTGAAAATGTTAACAAGTTGATTGCTCACCAAGCATTTTACAAATTGTAAACCAAGTGTCGAAGTTGGACAACGTCATGAACAACGATACAAACCCTTCAATGTATTTGGGAAAAAAAAATAGATAGCATAAATTCGTTGTTTTTTTTAAGCATGTGAAACAGAACCCCTTGGTTCCCCCTTTTTTAGAAATCAACTTGGAAGTTCTACTCAATCCAACACTCCATTTGAAAAGCTTGGTGGGAAATGGGAATTACTTTAAAATATTGAATTCCAAAGTTATATATGGAATGTTGGGAACTCTGTCGGTAATGGGGCAAAGAATTTACCAAGAACATCATCATCATCATTCCTTTTACTTGCCGGAAACTTATGATTCGTTTAAAAGCCAAATTTGAAGGGTACTAGAAGAACCCTTAGTTCAAATAATGAACTTTATACATTGCAATTAAAAAAAGAAAGAGAAATAAACCCTTTTTTCCTATATAAGAAACTAAATCATGAGGGTAGGGTTTCTTAGTGGATTATTTAAGCTTATTACTCAATTAAGGACACCCATTGGTTCAACCTCACAATGTTGTCATTCCTCAAGAACTTTACAAACTTTAGGAAGGATCTTGTGGAGGGTAAGTTCAACTTTACTAGACAAAATTGTGTCACCAATTCACCATCCAGAAGAATCGGTGGTAAATAAAGAATCAAGGCCTCAAAAGTTGACATTTACTCAAGTGCATTTAAGAGCACATCAAGATAAGCTTTTAAATGAACACAACACATAACAAAGTTATACACTTGCCCAATATGTAATTGACCTTGCCTGAAACATGCATTATGTCTGGCTTGGTTACATCATACATGTGTCTAGGTTCAATATATCATGCTAATATTGTATGGTTATATTTATTAGATATATGTTCATTGTATAGTTATAAACTCTCTGATCATGTGATTAAGACACGTTTTCAAGTATGGTTCTAATTTTTCTCTATCATTCTCTTAAGGGACCTAAAAAATTGCTTCACTAATGACAATGCAAAAATGACAGGGTCCTTCCCTTGAATTATTAACCATGAAATAACTGGTCACTCTCGCTTAACAAATATGATTTGCACGATTTGAAGAGGTTGAATTGATAAAACACAAGTTGGTAAGACGGTTTTATTGATAGAAACATTAGATAATAAGCCAGAATTAGAATTCAGCAACACAATACAGATTATTTACTCTGTGTCTAGAAACTTTTCATGATGAACTGGCCTGTTAGCTACACTAGTTGCTTTATTAAATTATTCACTTGTTGGAAATAAAACAAGATTTGAGATACATCATATTAATTCTTTGAAGAAAAAAAAATCATCATTTTTATCGCTGAAAGATGAAAAAATCAAACAATGTAATCCCTTTTTAACATTAATTTAGTCCTTGAAAAGGATTAAAGTATTAATAATTTCATCTTTCAAGGATGAAAAAAATGATTTTCATCTTTCAGGACTAATGTGATTGACCTTAATTTTTTTTAGAAACTAAAATGTTGTTTTACTCTTTTCTTGAGTTTCCTTCACCAATTGATTTGGAAGTATCCATATATTGAACTGCTTCAAATGCTGTCTTGTCCAAACCTAAACTTTACGACTCATTTATGAAAATCTTAGCATCTGCTTCACAGATTTTGTATGGACTGTGGAGAAAGTCAGGCAATGAACCATTTTGGCATTTTCACATCTTCCTTATACTTAATAAGGCACTGTTAATGACATCTCCAACAGAGGCATACTGCTTTCAAAATTTTGTAGTAACTTGCAAAAGATGGATCATTTTGATTTTAGCAAAGAATCCAATAGTTAAGTACAGAGAAAAAATTAGGTAACATTTTCAAGAAATACTGTAGCATGAGGGTGTTGAAGCATACCAAGCAGATCATGGAAAACTAGCACCTGCATGAGCAATAAAATAGAAATCAATTATAACTTTACTAAAAATCATTCACAAATAGAAGTGCAGATCATGATTAACTAGCACGTGGCATAATATTAATGAGGTATATAATTCATACTTGTAGAATTAACTCTGTGAAATTAGTTCAAGAAATATTTCTAGACTGGTTATTTATATAAAAAATCATTTCTTGATGTGAAACAATAAGAAAGGTTATTAAATTACTTCTCCTTCAATAATAACTCAGTTGATGATATGTCCCTACTTGTAATTTGCAATGATAGATCTTCTATTCATTTCTTTTTCTTTTTCTTCTTCCACCTTGTGATTTAAATGCTCAATATATAATCTACACACATACATAATAACATACCAAAATGAAAATATCATGTAATTAAGACAACAATATATCATGAAACACGATTCCCTACTTTCAACTTGATGAAGTATAAATGCCTCAAAATAAAGCCATAGTCATGAGTTTTCTAATACTACACAAAAATAGTGGTGCTAGTCTTGGCCACTCCACCTTTACTAAAGTTCTGAAGCACATAATACTAGCTAAAGGGCAGCATGGACAACTTACCTGTCCACTTAAAAATGGTCCAGCCCAAATTCCAATTGTAGGAATTTGAAGTGCTGCTGTGCAGGAACACATTCTATAACAAGCCTCTTACAAAGGCAATGCC